TGTCAGACACTCCCACGAAGTCTCACCAACACGACTGTCTAAACATGAGTTGATCATGAAAAACAACAATACTACATATTGTTCTATATGACAATGTTACATATGATAACAACAATACATATGCTAAGACAAATAGAGGCCTTAATCTTACGCCAAGAACTATATAGGCAACGAAGGAATGCTGAGTAGGAGAAACAGTCTTCCCCAGGGGAGAGCACACCGATTGGTTATTTAATGCCAAATGGTCAGTCCTGAGAACATACATACAATTGACATTATACAGACTGAGCCGTCTGTACTTATATATTTAGGAATGTGTATGTATATACATATATGGATGTAATGATAATTAACGAAAAAATCAGTCATGAATTGGAAAGAGAACAAAGAGAGGTATATGGGAGGCTTTTGGAGGAGGAAAGGCAAGGGGGGACGTTGTAATTATATTATAATCTCAACAAATAAGAGAAATAAAGAATCCTCACTTCAGTAATCCAGACTTTTGATTATTGCCTTGTTAGGAATCATTTGGAGAAGAACCAACATTTTCTGTATTAAATGTATTTCCCATCTTGGCAAACATTCAATTTTTCAATGTATGATATTCAGTTTAACTCAATACTTCAAAGAATAATTTAAAGAGACCAAAGGTACTGTTAACGGATATGGCCCCATGGTAGAGTGCTAGACCAGCATGTGAGGTCCCAGGTTCAATCCCCAAATAATCAAATGCAAACGTAAATGTGAAACAGCACTCACTAGAAACCAACACAAGTATTGCTTGATTTCCTACTTTCTGCTCAGAAAACACGGCCCTTTTTGCCTTGCCCTGCAACTGTATATGCTTCTTTATTATGCTGTTATTTTTAGAAAGAATTTAGCAAGCAATTCACAAGAAGAAAGAACCCCCCAGAGCTTTAGATCTTGAATTGCCACGTTTCTGGTGCGTTTTAAGCATGCTGTTTGGTAGAAATGAAAGTCGCGAATCAAATCCTTATTCTTTGAAAGCTTCTCAAAGAAGGGGTGAGTCAAACTGGTGCTTTGGAAGGAAGCCTGGGATGATGACCTCATACCTGTACTGCAGAGCCATCCCAGAATTAGCTGACATGGGGACTTACTGTGTAGAAAGGATTTTGGAACAAAAGTGTCAGGGAAATGCTTCAGGGAGAGAGAGCTGGCAAAGGCATTTAGCATCATATGATCAGGATTTCTTAAATGTATTTTTATTCAACCAAGTATATCATATAAAATCTAAAATTGTCTTTTTGTAGAAACAATTCATTATATTTCTCCTTGTACTTCCTTTGGATCTGAGATGATAAGACTATCAAAACTCTCCCAAATGCCTGGCGGCACATCTCGGAATCAGCCCTTGATGTGGCTTCCCTGAAGATGGGGTAGCATTTTGTCTGCTCTAGAAGTTAAACCAGCTTGGGAACGACCTTCCGGCAAGCAGTCTTTATGTGCGATGGCAGAGTCTTTCTCTGAGCTTCCCTCTCTTATTTTCTGCTTTGGAGTTTCTGGTGGCATTTCTTGGAGAAAAACTTGGCAAGAATAAAGTTCAACATAAGCAATCTCCACAATGAATGTGTGAGAGTCTTTTAGGAATGGACCAACATTCCCTTTTGGAGGAAGACTTTTTCCCTGTTGTTTGTCAACAACATGTCATGAGCTGGTTTCCTCCGTCCCGAGAGTGATTGAAGATCGAAGAGATTCTGGTAGCATTTCAGGAATGGTTTTCACACACCAAGCTGTTTACATGCTTTGTTTAAGCAAGAAAGGAATTTCAGTGACAGGGAGAGGTGAAAGCAGAGGCGAGTAAATAACGGCAAATGTTTCTCTATAAAATGGTATTTCACAAACTGCTTGTAAAGAACATGGAGTCCTGTCTGTTAGGCCTGCTTTTAAGTCAGGTTGAATCACAGTCCTTTTGATGAGGACATTTTGCCAGCATTTAAGAATTAAGACATTTCACACATCAGTAATAAAGACACAAGTTGGCACCCTCTGAAGTGGAAAGTTACAGCATCTGATCATTGATTTTTCTGTCTCTCCTTGGTACCCAGGGGCACTGCACTAAAACATCTGTTCTCACAATGCCCCTTAAGTTTCAGCAAAGGGTGAGCATGTTTCATTCCAGGCTTTTTATATTACCCAGATATTGTAGATTAAGGATAAACTTGTGCTCAGGTATTCATTCATCTTGGTATGATGGATTGGGTGGAAGCAACACAGGGTGTCAGCATTCTCCGGAAGGAGAGAGGGACAAACAGAGGAGTGCCTGCCTTGAGTGGTTGGCGGAGACAGGCTATGGTTATCTGGCCTTCCTCACTTGTTCTAACTCTCTCTCACTTTCTGTGTGTGTGTGTGCGTGTGCGTGTGCGTGTGCGTGTGTGTGTGTGTGTGTGTGTGTGTGTTTCAGAAATACACTTGAATAAACACAAAGAATCACCACAGAAGCACACAGCCTCAAACTCTGCTCAGCCCTCACTGTCTCTTAGCTCAGCATTTTATTCTCAGCAAAGAGAGTACTATCAAACACACTTCCTTTGTGGGGCAAACTTCTAAGTGGGCATTGAGATGAAGGAGGCAGTATTGTCTTTACTGTGATCCTTGGCATGTTTCATAAGATTCTGATGTCCCTTGGGAGTATAAGAATAGCTCAGAGATCTACATGAGCGGATTGGGTGTGTGTGGGGGTGGGGTGGCAGAGGGCGAGGAGTGGGGGATGAGAACATAGGGAAATGGGAGGATCAAGCTGGAACAGGGACAGAGTGGAAGGGCAGGGAGGAAGATACCATGATAGATGAGGACATCATGGGAATAGGAAGAGCCAGGGTGCTGGGGAGGCTCTCAGGAATCCACAAGGTTGACCCCACCTTGGTCTGCTGGCAGTGATCCAGAGGGTGCCTGGACTGGTCTACTCTGGTGACTGGTCTACTCTGGTGACCGGTCTAGCAAATGACCTAGTTGTCCAATAGACTTTGTCCAGTGACTGATGGAGGCAGATGCAGAGATCCATGCCCAGATACCAGGCTAAGCTCTAGGAATCCAATTGATGAGAGAGGAGGGATTCTGCAGGTGAGGGATGTGGAGATCATGATGGGAGGACGTGCAGAGATGACCGGCCACACTAGTGGAAGCCCATGAACTGTGGAGTGGTGGCTGTGGAGCCCCCATGGGACTGGACTAGGCCCTCTGGATACAGAAGACGGTTGTTTGGCTTGAACTGTTTGGGGGGCACCCAGGCAGAGGGATCGGGATCTGTCCCTGGTGCATGCGCAGGCTTCTGGGAATCCGGTGCCTGCGGTGTGACGCCTTGCACAGCCCTGGTGCAGTGAGAAGGGGCTGGCTTGGACCTGCCTAGGCTCAGTGTGCTGGGCTCTGCTGACTCCCCATGGGAGACCTTGATTTGGGGGATGTGGGGATGCTGGGGGGGGCGAGGGAGGAGGGGGATGTGTAGGTGGTATGTGAAGTGAGTAGAAAATTTCTTAATAAAGAAAAATGAAAAAAAAATAAAAAAGAATAGCTCAGAGAAAAATTAGTGTTTTGATCCCTAGATTTTAAATTTATATATTTTTGTGTATTGCTAAGTATGTTGCTATAATTTAAGAGTATTTACACTTTAAAAATAAAAACATTTGATAAGAGAAGCAAAACTTAAATATGACTTATCATTTCTTTCATTTTACTTATAGGGGAGAATGAGTTATCTCTAGATGTTCATTCTTTTTAAGAGAAGTTTTAAGTATTCATGTCCTAAGACTCAGAACACTCACTGAAGAAAACAAAAACAAAAACAAAATCCCAACCTTCTATCTACTCACCCACCCAACCAGCCAATGGACCAGTCAGCTAAAGCTAGATGAGTGACCAAAACATAGAAAGGCTCTTTGTAAAGACTGCAAAATGCATATGTATTGGCTGTGTGAATATTATATAAAAGAATTTTACCCCCAAGGCCACAGATTCTTTATTTCTGAAAAATGAAAGCAATTGACAGACTCTGTCTCATTGGGTCACTGAAAGGTTTAAACGGGATAAAGTTTGGCTGAAGTCATGCAGACTTGTACATTAGAGGCTGAAAGTTTGTGCTCCTTAAAAATCATAGGTTGGGATCCTAATCCTGAAATGATGGCTTTGGGAGATTAGACCTCAGGGAGATGATTACTGACACAGTGTCTTGAAGGTGGGGCTTCCTGGTGGGATCAATGTTCTCCAAGGAAAGACACCAGACAGCTTGGTATTTCTCTCTGTACCTTTGAACGCACAGAGAATGGCTGCTACCTACCAAGAGAATATGTAGAATAAAGCTCAAAATTGCTGGCAACATAGTCTTAATGGATGCTAAAATTACACTTGAATATGCAATTGTGCGAACTGACTACCTTTCTTGGAGGGCTTCCTTTGTCAGCTACCCACAGCCGTGGTCTATTTATATTGTGCTGTTATCCGAGCCATACTTCCTTATGGATTCTGTGCTAATTTTTACATCAATTTTTATTGGAAACATGTTTGCATACCTTACTTTCTTATGTGTGAGTATGTGCAAAGAATTTTAACCTATTTGTTTGGAAACAAAACCAAAACCAAAATTCAGATATCTGCTCTTTTGTGGGGGAGCAATGTGAAGAGCTACAGACATCTAGATGGGAGCTGATGCACTGTCACGTGCAGGCCCTGGCTGAGGAGTTGTTTATTATTTCCATGATTTCAATCTATCCACACAGCTGATTAAATTTAAATAATTGAAGAATAAATATTCTAAATATTTTATTAACTTCTAGGTATGCAAAATGCAGAAATGTAAAAAGTATGACCTACCTACAGTGTAGGTCTGGCTGTAGCAATAAAAAATAAATGATTTAAAAAGTACTGCTTTACATAAGAGCTGGTGTGCCTACAAATAACTCTCACAGTAGACCACGAAGAATACTGTTTTTATATCAAACCTAATTATTGCTGAAGTCAATGCCTCATTTCTTCCGTTCTTCCGTTTTTAGTTTCTAACATCTGCTGAGTCCAACAAAATTCTTGGTTAAGAAATAACATTCCAGAATGGACCCAGCCTGCGTTCTCACTTGTGGATACCCAGGTATGAAGACCTTATTGGCAATGTTAATAATCACAATTGCAAAGATGATCTTCATTAGATCTTTTCTGTGAGCAAAGCAGAAAACTTTAAGGCACAAATTTATTTTCCATAGCATTTCAATGATATTATCCTCAGTTACACAAAGAGTTGTGTGAGGGGTAGGGAGTTAAGTTCCTCACTCAATTGAGATTGTTCAAATTGTAAATGAACTTCAAACTGGTCTGTGTAGCACACATTCTGCATGTTTACGAGGCCTATCGACAAAGAGCAATATGGCTGAGAGATGGTGGTAAACTATGCACATGCATCCAGAGGGGTTCACTTATGAGTGTCTCAGATGCTAAGGATAATCACTACCAGGCTTGGCCAACCCTCAGGCTGCACAGATTTCAGGGTAGCAATGAATGTTCAGGGGTTCCCTGAGCTCCACCTTATGTTTGTCTGTGGGTATCTGCATCTGCTCCCATTTGCTGTCAGAGGAAGCCTCTCTGATGATGACTGGATAAGGCACTGATTTACGAGAAAAGCAGAATATCACTAGGAATTATTTCATTGACTATTTTTTTCCTTTTGGCTAGCCATGTTTGACTCTACCCTGGGTCTCTTGGCTATCCAGCTTCTGGTTCCTGGCCATCCAGGCACTGTCAGGGCCCAAAACGGCTTACTTAAAATGTTCTGATAATTCTTTACTTCATCACATGAGTCTAGATCATGGACTTTGTAGAAAGAGAAAATGACATCATATCACAATGTTAAAAGGTTGGAAAGGTCTGATGGACTAGGAATACTGGAGTGGACAGCAGCATTTACATGTATCCGTGCTTTGTGTATATGTACATATGTATGTATACATGTATGTATGTATGTGTGCATGTATGCTCGTATGTGTGTGTACCATGTAGCTAGAGTTTTCCTGCCTGGCCCACAGTCAGGATAAATCTCTCTCACCTGCCAGTCCCACAGCCGCTCAGACCCGACCAAGTAAACACAGAGACTTATATTGGTTACAAACTGTGTGGCCATGGCAGGCTTCTTGCTAACTGTTCTTATATCTTAAATTAATCCATTTCTATAAATCTATACCTTGTCACGTGGCTCGTGGCTTACCGGCATCTTCACATGCTGTTTCTCATCGTGGCAGCTTGCAGTGTCTCTCTGACTCAGCCTTCCACTTCCCAGCTTTATTCTCCTCCTTGTCCTGCCTACACTTCCTGCCTAGCCAATGGCCAATCAGTGTTTTATTTATTGACTAATCAGCAACACATTTGCCATACAGACCATCCCACAGCAGTACCACATGCATATCATGTACTCACAGAAACCAGAAAAGGCTGTCAGATGCCCTGAAACTGAAGTTACAGATGGTTGTAGTCTGTCATGTGAGTGCCAGGAACTGAACGTGAGTCCTCTACAAGAGCATCAATGCCACACCATCGCTCTAGTCCCTCCCTTTCCTCTTTCTCAGGGTACATAACATGGGTAAAAAGAGACTATTTATTTAGTAGTTTCTAGGATTATATGGAAAAATTATGCCTCTTATGGAAATCTCAGTGTGCAGAGGAATAAGAATAGTGATTAAGAACATGGTGTGAGAAGTCAGTCAGCTATATATTAGCCTTGAAACCTTATGCAAGTTATTTAGCCTCTATACGTATCAGTGTTCTAATCTATAATATGGGGATAGCAGCTGTATAGAGTTCTTTCAGAATTAAATGAGGCAATAATATTTGTAAAGCTCTTGGCACAGTGCTCAACAGGTCATTAACATTAAGTTATACTTTTGTTGTCTATATGAGATATAGGTAAAAGAGTCTTTTTGAATTTAGTGCTTTTTTATAATTTATCAGAAAACACAGCAGATACTGTAGCTGGAGAATTTTTCTCCAGCTCCCACCGCCAAGTCCCACCAGTCCTGGAGCCCACTTATAAAATAAACACACAGACTCTTACATTATTTAAACTGCTTGGCCATGAGCTCAGGCCTAACATTGTCTAGCTCTCACTCTTATATTCAGCCCATTTCTATTTATCTTTACTTTGCCACGTGGCTTGTGGCTTACCGGTACTTTACATCTTCCTTGTCTTGGCAGTGGCTCCAGCTGGTCTCCCTTTCCTTCCTCCTTCCTCAATTCTCCTCTCTCCTTGTCCCGCCTATACTTCCTGCCTGGACACTGGCCAATCAGTGCTTTAGCTATACAGAGCGATATCCACAGCAAGATACTCTACTTTTGAGTTCTAGAATGAATATTAGTCACTTCACTCTTCATTTTTATGCCATTTAAAAAATAGAGTGAACATAGGTTTATTAAGGAAAAATGGAAAGGAAGTGAGTAGAAGGTACTGAAAGTGGTGAGTCCCCACATCTCGTTTCTTTTCCTAGTTGCTATCCGTTTCCTGTCTTCCTGTTTGCCACTGACCTATCCTCTCTCTCTCTCTTCCTTAGGGAAAAACAACCCAGCAACAATAACAACAAAAGCTATCTTTTCCTCCTGCTCTGTTTCCCAAACTCCCAATTCACAAGCCTGCTCACCTTCCTTCATCCATCCCCTCAGACTCCCAGCACTTACATCCTGCTAAGGAACAAAGGCCCACGGGAAGTTCATTAAAGTGCTAAGGGAGGCAAATGTTTACAGGTGGAAACTGTGAGCTGAAGGTGACAGATATGAGCAAAGGTGAAGAGAAGAGCCTTGTGGCACAGTAGTCCCCTTCACTTGTGACAGTCTGGGAAACTTAGCTAGGAAACCATGGGAAATTCCTAGGCTGTTGTGGGCCACTTGTCTTCTAAATGCGTGGAGAGCTGATGTGTTATTCTATGGTAATTGTACAAATTCCTGTCATATCAGCCTAGGACAGTTTCAACCCTGACACCAGGTAAACAGACATAGTTTTCACTATGAATATTAGTTACCACTGCTAAGGGCTATGCTATAAATGACTAACATTTCACCTTCTCACTGCTAAAGATCTCATGTAGCATATCATTTCTTACTTACATAAGCCTATGAAAAAAGGTATCATAAATGCTATTTTTTTTCCGGTCATAATGAAGAAGTAGAAAGCTATTGACTTAATCGATGGTCACAAGTGGAAGGTTTCCGCTGTAAATTCAGGAATTCAGACTTTGGTCTCATGCTTCTGTAACTGCTCCAGACAGAGCAGCTGTGGGGAGAGCTTGGTGTCTTGCCACATGGACTCACCGAGCATGTGTGGAACCCTGTAATCCTCAGATGCTCTACTAGCTGTGGGAGCTGGGTCAGGGACCAGACAGAAAGAGAGGAAATGATAAGAAAAAGCAAACTAATAGAGAGGATGCTTATAGATTATGGCATTATCTGGGAAGGTGAAAACTAGATGTAAGGCCATGAGACTCCTGGAGTTATTTGTTCTAACAGTTAAGAGGAGACTGTGTCACTATGTAAAAGGCAAATGTGAATTCTGGGCAGGAGAGAAATTAGAAAGGCTTGGGTAGTGAAAGAAACTGTTGCTATTAGGGGACAAGATAGTGTAACATTGTGATTGGAAATTAGAAAGGAAGCCAGGAGACATGAAATATGTACAATGGGTGTAGCTAGAGTTTTCCTGCCTGGCCCACAGTCAGGACAAATCTCTCTCACCTGCCAGTCCCACAGCCGCTCAGACCCAACGAAGTAAACACAGAGACTTATATTGCTTACAAACTGTATGGCTGTGGCAGGCTTCTTGCTAACTGTTCTTATATCTTAAATTAATCCATTTCTATAAATCTATACCTTGCCACGTGGCTCGTGGCTTACCGGCATCTTCACATGCTGCTTGTTATGGCAGCGACTGGCAGTGTCTCCCACTCAGCCTTCCACTTCCCAGAATTCTCCTCTCTCCTTGTCCCGCCTATACTTCCTGTCTGGCCACTGGCCAATCAGTGTTTTATTTATTGACCAATCAGCAACACTTTTGACATACAGACCATCCCACAGCAAATGGGAACATCTTGGAGAGCCAGCCAAGCTCACAAAGGACATTCTTAACTGAATACCAGACTCAGATCACAAGGGTACACTCTCAGCAGTCATGTTTGAACATAAACATACTTCCACAGTTTTCATGGGACAAGAATGTACTGAAACCCAGCATGTGCACTGTGCAATAAGTGTGAGTGTGCTCGGGTCATTGTGTAACCAGCTGGAACTCCTGATGTAGGAGTGTCGGATATGGAATTAGAGAAGGATCCAGCTGCTACTTGACCAGAGTCAGAACAGATAAAGTCAGAGCTGTTGACATCTAAATTCTCTCCTACTGATTAGAGGTCCTCGGAAACTGGCTTGCAAAGGAACAAGAGAGAAGCACACAAAGGTAGTATTCTCATGATTCCCGATTGCTTAATGTTTCTGGTTTCTAGTATTACTGAAATCTGGCCTGTGTTCTGTCTTGTTCATCAAGAGACTCATAACATTGTTTTATAACATTTTCCTATGTTCTATGGTATTTTTCTATCGCTGTTTTCAAAAATTAAACTGAATTTATATTCTCAGCTTGCTACTGCAGGACAAGCTTGGGTAAAAATAATGTCTAAGACCTAAGCATCGCTGAGAGCTGATAGCAAGATAACTTATAATTTTAGAGGGAGAAGGACATCTTTACAAGATTAATGGAAACTCAGGGCATTGGTCAGAGGGAAACAATATTATGAGACCTGGAAGAAGCAGTCCATAGGTGATGTTTGCATAGGTGATGAGGAAATGCCATGCCATGAGACCCTTCCTTCTGCCAGACAGGAAGAAACATACTGTCCCCACTGAAGCATCTGTCAGACTACAGATATCTTCTTATTTGTATATATAAACATAGGAACAATGTGGGAATTTTGGAGAGCCAAATTTTAAAAACAACTCATCTCCTATACTCATACCTGATGAGATTATTCATTTTTTGTCTTGTGGTTGTTTTATTTTGTTTTTAAGACAGGGTCTCACTATATAACCCTGGCTGGCCTGAAACTCTCTTCATATATCAGTCTGGCCTTA